GTTTTAGTTCTATTTCCTCTGATACCAGCCCTTGTTTCACTCCTGCCACATGCAGGGAACAGCAGGAGCCTGAAAGAGAATTAGGAGATGCCCATCTGGACTTTGAACAAGTATCTGCCTCAGTGCAGCCATGGCTCCAAGACATGGCATGGAGAGGGAAGGCTGTGACATGAGCTGGAAGAGGAACAGTCCTTGCCAGTGGGCAAAGTCCAGCATCAGAGCCAAAGAATTGTCTCCGTGTCCACCAGAAGCTGACTTGGGGCTTTTTGTCATGAGTTGTGACAACTGTCACAGTCCCCAGAATACACAATGCAGCCTGCAAGGGGAGAGGAAGAAGAGGGAGTGGGACATAAGACAGAGGTGCCTCATGTCTGCTCTGATGTTGTTTCTTAAATCATTGAGGTCAAGGTTTTTCAGAGATTATGAAAAAGCCTCATCATCCATCTGAGACATTATGAGGGCCAAGAATTTCAGGACACCTCTCCCAATTACTGGTATCTGAAAAAAAATCCCTAAGCACTGGTTTGTAACTGCTGGCCTGTCTCAGCTCCCTGGTACTTTGTGTGGCTCAGACATCAGCCAGGCCCAGAATAACATCTATTTCCACTAAAACTGTAGCATTCTAGGAAAGACTAATCCCAAATCCAGCTGCAAACAAGCTGACATGCATTCACAGAGAGCCTGGGGAAATTTGGAGAGGGTAGAGGTCTGGCCTCTTATTAGAAGAGCTCCATCACAAGCACACAGAAAAAACTGCAAAATAGATGTTTTGATACCAAGCCAGTGACACCCTGAACGTTTTGGGCAGAACCCATCACCCTCAGCAAGATAAGAAGATAGCTCATGAAGTTTTTACTGGCTGCTCCATTATCATGCCTGCTGGGAACATTCATCTTCTCTGACCTGAGAAGGAGCCAGGTAAACATGCAAATCTGCTCAAACTGTTTCCTCTTTTCCGTAATCACTTACACAGGTCTTAGTGGCAAAGATGTTTACATAACCAACACCCTCAGCTCCTGCCAGCAGCTTCCTGGCTCAGGCCTGTTCCACAGCCCTGCTGCTTGGCAGGGATTAGCAGAGAGCTGAGCACAGGAGCAGCAGGTACAGGTGCAGCTACAGGTACAGGTGTGCTGCACAGCACAGTCCACGTGTGGAGCTTGTCCTGGTGCCTGCCATAATTGCTGGGATGCCTCCACTTGATGAGGGCTGTATAAACTCCTGCAAGTATCCCAGAGTCTTTGGAACTCCTGCCATTTTCAGTGTCTCTGGGAAGAGGAAGCTTGCCTCACAAGGCAGGCCTGTGGAGCCACGCAGCTCCCTCCCAAAGCCACCCAGAGCCAAGTGATATCCTGCGGTAACTCCATAGCTCTGCTTCCTCAGGTAACCCCTGTTTTGGTGCTCCCAATGCTCCAGGGACTCTCTGGGATCTTCTCCTGGCCTCTCTTCACATGAAAGCAGAACTCTGCTCTTCAGGAATAACAGTTAATGCCTAAGAGTGCTCCAGGTCATCTCCTTCCCCCTTGCTTCCCATCACCCCTGCCTTTCTGGCACAGGATTGATTGCTGGAAAGCACTTGACACACTCATCAGAAAGCCAAGGCTGGCAGAAGAGCAGTGCAACTTCCCCGTGAAAGTTACCATTACCTCTCCCCCTCACACTGCTAAGACCTCAGATTCCCAAGCAGGCAGGAAGGTAAGTGCCTTCTGCCCACCAGGGCAGGCAGCTGTGCGGTAATTGCAACTGGAAACATTGGAACATGTCTTTGTTCCATATTTGGATGAGTCCAGTGGAAGGAGAGTGTGTGTCCATAATTGCTGCCATTGTCTGAAATGAGCTTTCTTAACAACCAGAAATAAAACCCATGATCAAGGACTCTCCACTGTGCTCCAGCTTCAGAGAAGAGCAGCAAAGGATCACCCACATCCCACAGGAAGGAATCCCATCCCCACTGGGGCTTGGAGGAGATCTGTTCTTTGTGAGGATGTCAGATGTCACCTCAAAAGTTAGGTCCCTCCTGCTGTCTTCTAAAGCTCTGACTTGAAGGAATGTTTCCAGAACTGGAACACAAGATGCCACCTCACAGGAAAACAGCACAAGGTGAGCAAGTTTCTGCTGAATGAAAAAATGCTCAGTTTTTTGTTCTCTTCATGCTAAAAAAGCAAAAACCCACTGCCTCATCTGGCTTTCGAGTTTTCCAATAGGGCCTCAGAGTCCACCTTTACTGTATCAGGAGTTGTACTAAAGTTTAAAACAACAAAACAAAAATCCCATACCAAGAAGAAAGATTGAGGCGAACATTCAGGACTGTCCAGGCCATATTTTCAGTGGCTACCATGTTTGGTACAGAGTGCAAGCTGAAACCAAGCTAGTTTTAAAGAGCAACACTACCCCTTGCATCTTGCATCCCAACATCTAATTCCAAGTTTTGCTTCCAAGGAAAAAAAAAAAAAAACCAAAAAAAACACCACAAAGCAAAGAGACCACAAAAATCCTGTCCTCTGGCATGGATTCAGTGGTTACTCTCCCTTTTCCTTATTTCAGAACAAAATGAGTTGGAAATCCTGCACCAGTGTACAAAAGACAATTAAAATGAAAATGGGCACCTGCAGGCTCTGAGCCCAGAGAAGCTTCCAGGCTTAGAATGGGAACTGCTGCAACACTAGAGGTGGGGTTGCTCTACACATCAAAGCCCCACTGCCTGCTCGAGTCTCTCCCTCCCTCTCTTTCTGTAGCTGTTCCGCACTTCCCTCACCTGCTCCATGCATTCCCTCTGAGAGCCAGGAGTGCAAATCCTGGTGCCTGTGCTGTTTTGTGCCTCTGAATGCCTGCCTGGCTGCAGGAGCTGCAGAGGATGGGAGGGAAAGACTTCTGTCATACAGCACCTTCATTCTCCATGTTTAATATCCTGAGAGCAGAGACATGGAAGAATTCCCTCACAGAACTGATGTTTACGAATAGCCATGGAGGTGAATGTACCAAGTGTCACCACAAGCTGAACAGCACCAGTTTTTAAAGCTCATACAGGTATGAACACCTGTTACGTGAGAATCCAGAACTTGTGGAATGTCTGTGGTTTCAAGAAATACTCCTGCCCCAATGGAAGTATTTTCAGAGGTACCCCAGAATATGTTAACCTGTATTTTATATATTCCAGCAAAACTCCCACCTGCAGGCAAAAGGAAACCACTCTGGTGTTCATGACTGCCCATAGAGAGACCTGGGGACTGAAGGCATCAAGAGACAACAGAAAGGGGAAGGAAGAAAAGGGATCCCAATTAGCAAAAATAGCAGAGAAGAATGAGCCTTTCTAACCACAGAAAAAAGAGGTAATGAGGAAAAGAAAATCCACCAAAAGCAAGAGCACAGTGGAAAAAGAGGGGACCTAATGCTCCAGTTCTTCCTTGGTTCTTCTCATGGGTCCCCAGATGAACCTGCTGCTCCACAATACCTGTCTCCAGAGAGGTCACAGTGTCCTGCAAAATCCTAGGACGAGGTAGAGACCATTCTAAGCTCTAATCTGCAGCCTGCCTTGCTTAGGGGAGTACAGGCCTGCACAGTCAGGGCTTGCTGAGCCATGGGGTGCTCTGCATGGCTTGTGAGAGGACAAGAGGGGAGATGCTATTCCACAGCTGGGAAGAAGATTCATAGTACCAGCTACCACCAGCATGGGTAGAAAAACCTGCTATTTGGCTCAGTGGATGCTTTCATCCTCTTGAGCAGGGAAGAGCCACCAGCTGGTACTAACAGGTTTAAAACATCCCCCTGCAAGCACAATGGTTTATTTGTCCCTGGCAGTAAATGTTACAGAGAGAACTCAGCCTCAGGAGTGCCTGTTGCTCTTTCCCTCAGCTGTCACAGTCTTGGGGGTGAACAGGTTTTGGGAGTGAACAGCAACTCTGCCCCATGTCCCTGAGCTGGCTCTCCACGACTGCCATCGCATGCTGGGTCAGGCCTGTGCCAAGGAACAACCTACCAACCAAAGCCACCTTGGTGCAGGGTGACCAAATCCCATCCCCGGAACAGACAGCTTCTCCGTCTCAGCCAACATGGAAAGTTATTTCCTGGCTAAAGATGTTTAAGATCTCCCTTTATCACCAAGGCTCACTTTATGCCGAACAGAGCACAGCACCTGTCTCTTCCTATACATTTGCTGATGGCAGCCTGGACGGTGCAAGCCGAGAGACAGCGTGCAAGCCAAGGGGAGAGCACCCCGGTGCGCCTCCGCTCGGGGCATCTCCACTCGGTGCGGTTCGGACGGGATCCCAGGAACTCGCACGGAGCCGGCTCCGCTCTTCGCCGCCCGCGGTCCCGCAGCGCTGGGATGCCGTGAGACTCGCAGGTAAGAGCCGGGGGGTCTGACCGCCACATCCCGGGGGCAAAGCTGTCCCGGCTGGGGAGCACTCCCGGGCCGGCGGGGTGGCGGTGGGGAGCAAGCTCGGAGAGCGGCTTGGACCCTCGGTACTTGGTCTCTTGCCCCACCGCTGCCTCGTAACCTGCAGGCTCGGCGGGCACCCGAGCCCCAGCCCGCCGTGCCCCGGTGTCCCCGGGCTGTCTCACCTCGGAGTAGACGTAGAGGGGCAGGACGAGGAGGGCGAGCAGCAGATCGGCCACGGCGAGGCTGACGATGAAGTAGTTGGTGGTGGTCTTGAGCGCCCGTTCCGTGCAGACGCTCAGACAGACGAGCCCGTTGCCGCCGACGATGAGGAGGATGAGGAGGATGCCGAGCACCAGGGCGGCGATGCTGTGGCCGGGTACGGCGGGCGGGGGTCCGGCGGTGCCGTTGCCCATGGCCCCGCGGCGCTGCCCCCGCAGCCCCGCGCACGGAGCCGGGCCGGCCGCCGCGAGCTGCCCGCCGAGCCGCGGGAGGAGCCTCCGCCGCCGCCCCGCCCGGCCCCGGTCCCGGCCCCGCGGGGACAACTGGGTCACCAAGCGGCTTAAGGGGTGGCGGGGCGGGGGGGGCAGGCTCCCGGTGTCCCGGCTCCCGGTGTCCCGGAGTCCCGAGCGCTGCAGAGGTCCTGCTGCGTTCTCACATGGTCTTGCTGCGTTCTCACACGGGGCTGTTCTCTTAAGCAATGTTAGAGGAAAGAATTGGAATTAGTACAGGTCGGGTGAATAACTGGGAAATTTTATTCTGATGTGTGTGTAGAATCTGATAATGTTTAGGAGTTTGTAATTAAGCTGAGTGAAGATCCAGACAGTCCATAATGAAATTTGAAGATAGTGCCAAGACAGAATGCTGAGAGTGTCTTGGAGCACAGAGGAAGGATTAAAAGTGCTCTTAATAAGCTGGCAAATGCAGGATGCTCTTCAAAAGGAATTTTGCACTTTAGCCATGCTTGGGCAGGAATAAACAACTGCAGAAATGTAGGATACAGGAAGGAACCAGATGGGCAGCAAGTGTGGCAGCAAAGATGGGATGGCAGGTCAGGAGCTGAACAAGGGGGCTGGGCTGTTTTACTGCAGAAAATGAGAGAAAAATGCTCTTTGAGGGGTACCTATGCACCTGCAGGATCAGGAGGTATGGGGAGGTGTGACCTTCCATTCCTAGCCCAGATGACTTGGGAGATATGGAAGCTGATACAGACCCTGTGGGCATCTCTGCAGCTGTGCCACTAAACCTCAGCCCAGATGTTAATGCCAGGTAAGCATTCAGGTCAGCCTGGTGTTTGTGGAAGGTGGTGGGAAGAGAAGGCATAGCAGTAGAAGGACATTTATATTGTGTATAAAAGAAAAAATACATTATTGGAAGATTTTTATGAGACAAATTGCTTCTAAGATCTGTTTATAAGCTGCAGGTATCAGAGTTTCACCCAAACTATTGAGACTTGTGGTAGAAATCCTCTCTCCAAACCCTACCCCTGCTGCCCCAAGTTCCCTTACTCTTTTTTGGAAAGGGTCACAGTTACCCCCCAGCATGTGCAGTGTAGAAAGGCCACAGCCCTGGTGTCAGCCTTGGGACACAGATCCAAGCACTGTCCTTCCCTTGGACTGGACTAACAGCAGCTGATCCACACAGTCTGTTCTGCCCAGCTGCTGTGGCTCTGCAATTTCATACATGAGTAGGAGAAAATTCCCTTGGTTTAAGCACTTGGACAACAGTTTGGTTGGCTAAATTCTGCCTCCAGAGGTGGGGCTTCCAGGTCTGTTCTAAAGCCAGTAAGAATGCCCTGTCTTTAGTAACTACAGAGTTGTATCACCCTTCTCTCCCATCCTTGTGAAGTCTGCCCATCCTCATGTTGATCCCAATACCTGTGGATTTGTTTCTCCAGTCATCTCCCTCTTCTAGTGTGCAAAGACAGGAGAGACAATTCCACCTGGCCTGAGTGAGACCACATCTTGCTCTAGATCTGTCTGTCACCAGCACTGGAATGGGTACTCACATACCTGTATCTCTACATTCCTTTTGGGAATGGTTTCTGTTGGACTCAGGTGGACACAAGCATGGTTGCACATCTGCCAGGTTCAAAGCTCGGTGATACCTCATCTGCTGGCAAGTTCAAACAAGGAATATGGTTTCCATCATCTGGTCACAGCTTTTCCTACCTGGCTTTGTTCCCTAAAGCCTGACTCCTGACACAGCCCTCATTCAGTGAGGGGCTGGGACAGCAGAACCACGTTCACTAGAGCCCTTTTTATTCTGAGAAATGAACTCAAAGTAGTAAAAGGAGGTCCTGAAGTTTCATTAATGGAGGAGGCCCACAGTTTCATTAATGAAACTGTGTGGACAAAATACTCTTAATTTATTTATGTTCAAACCACCCGAGCAGCCAAGAGAGCAGGATGGAAATGTGACTGCTGTCCTCCTGCCTTCCCACAGGGATTAGTGGCATTCCTCTAATCCCCTTTAACAGTTAATTTACATTCATTATCTCAATTTTCCCTGTGGGTTAGTGCTGAATGACTCGTAATTCTCAGTGTGGAAGCTCATATTCCAGACTAACAGGGCCTTAATCCTAAACTAGTTTAATACTGGAGTGGGTTAAACTAATGTGAAATAGTGCTTTTGACTTCCTGAAGTGCGTAGCCATGCAAACCACTAATTAGGACAGTGCTTCCATGGCAAACAAGATACAGACATTAAACACAATTCCTTTCTTGGATAAGAGGAGCTGCTCTCCTAGCAGAGGAGAAGGAAAGTGTGTCTTACATCAGCATATCCAAAGAAGTCGTGTCACTGCACAAAAAACAGATGACAAAGGACAGAGTCATGGGTCACCCTCATGGAAAGCAGGAGGAGTTTTGCTGGAGTGATGGACTGGGAATGCTTAGAGCACCTTTGGAGAGGGTCTGATGTGTTGGTGTTTTGGAACTACCCTTTTTTGTTTAGATGCACAGCCTGCAGTGTCCTCATTCCCCATCTCACTGGGACGGTAGCTGTGGAAGCACCACAGCTGCTTCTGGTACCAGGAAGAGGGCAGCACCAGAGAAACACCCAAACCAACAAACCAGTGGGAGACCTGCCTTTTTTGAGTGTTTTGGAGTGTTTGGAAAAGAAACTCTGGGAGATAAGCAGTGTGGTTTATGGCTGTGGTGGAGCTGGTCCCTGACCAAAGGAAGCTGGTCCTCTGCCAAGGAGCCAGGAGTCCTGCAGAGACTCCCCCAGGATAAATTAACGGAGGATTGGATTCCCAGCCAGTTCAAAGGATCAGGAAGTTTACGAAGTGAGACATCTGTCAGAGTCTCCACAAGGAGATGGAATTTTTATCACCATAATTTTTCACATCTGAGGCACTACAAATTTAAATAGAAAAGGGGAACAATGTGGCTGCCAAAGTTTCAGGACAGATGTGCCAAAGTCGGCTGATGAATAGTGCCCTGATAGCATCAGCTCTCCTGGCTGCCTTCAGGTTCAGGACAAAGGGAGGAAAACAAAGAGCTTTCAAGGCCAATCGTGTTCCTATTATTTGCTATATTCAGCCTGGCAATTTTCTGTGAGACACTCATAGGCAACAAAGCCATCCTGCTTTCCAATCTCCTGTAATGCATTTCTCAAAAAAGAGGCAGAGGCAGTATCCCCCCTCTCAGGTGAGCTTTTGCAAGGAGGGAAGAAGATGGCTCATCTCTCTGGGCTTTCCAGACTCCAAGAAGCTGCAGGGATTTATTTACATGCTGAATGGATCTCTTGACATTTACCATTCTGGTAAGTTATGATAAACCCATGTAAGATGTAAAAACTAATGCTGGTGGTTATCTATGGGGGGTGAAACTATGGAGAAAATGGCTTCATTTTCCATCTCTGTTTGCTTGGAGTCAAAACTAGATGTTTTTGTGGATGCCTGGTTTCAGCTTAACCACATAATTGATCTCACACAAGGGTGACTCGATGAGATACAAGGGCTTGTGCCACAGGACAGATCGAAATAATATAACTCAAGAGCTCCTACTGGGTGTAAAACATCCCTGAGCTTATTAGACCCATTTGTTGGGAAAAACCTCCTGGGCAGGGGGAGAAGTGGAAGACAACAGAAGCAGGAAAGGCAGGGAAAGGCGTGACTGGGAGCAGCAAGCACCTGTAAGTGCTCCTCCCTCCGTGCTCATCCTGGCAAAGCCTGCTCCTGTTTACTGGAAAGGGTGTCCCTTCAGGTCCCTGACAAAGCCAGGGAGGGATGAGCTGAAATGCAGCCCAGGCAGCTGTCAGGAACTGCTGGGATGGCACACCTGGGACAGCTGGCCACAGTGCACATTCTAATTCTTCTAATTCAAACTAATTCCCCGAAGTGCTTTCTCCTCTTCCCAGACACACAAACAGCTGGAGGCTGAGATTACAGCGCTGATGCCAATTAGAGCCGTGATAAGGCAAGACACAAGGGAAGTGTGAGCGCGCTCAGGGCTCCTGCACTGCAGTACAGGGAGCTTCCAGCCGGGCAGGAGGCAGCGCTGGGCAGCAGGGCAAGGTGGCCAGAGCAGCCTGGGGAGGAGTACAACCAACCCTCTGCGGTCATGTCCCTGTGTTAAAGGATCAAAGCATAACTTTCTCTGCACAACCCAGGCAATGTGTGGATGAAATTTTTTCTGCTGCACATCCTGACCAGAATGAAGTAATGCCTTGATTGTCTAACACTAAAAATGTTGCTGGGGAGTTTTTTTGGTTTTCCTGCAGTTTTGGTGGCGCCTGCACTGGGATGTGTTGTTCCACCCTGGGAACATAACCAGAGGGCAGGTATGTTTTTTCCCCACTTGGGCTGGGAAACCTGGGGAGATTTGGAAGGAGTTCCATGGGGTGTAAAATTCCAGCAGGTGATTGATGGGGATGGCAGCTAGTCTTTAAAAACTACTTTGGGCTTCCTTGGTGACAGGGAGAGAGCCATGATGCACTCATAGGATTGGAAAGCAGAGTTCCCTTCTTCCTGTAAAAAAAGCTGTGCCCTGAGCTTGGCTTTTCCTTTTCTGGATCACAGTGCCAGCCAAGGGGTAATGGGAATTTCTCCCCTTCACAACTCAGAATTACCCCCCCACCCCAGAGATCTGAGTGCTGATTTTGGAGAGTCTGCACCCTCCCTGTGCTATGGGCTAGGATAGCTCTGTGATGAAATCCTCTCTTTTCTGAAATGCAGTTTCTTGTATTTACCTCCAACATCAAAAAAGGCTAGGCTCACATGTTCTCTCAAATATTGCCAGATTTGGGGCTAAAGCATTTAACAAGGCCAACCCTTCTTTCCCCTTACAGTACCCATTCCCAAAGCAGGCAGAAAGAATTTCTTCCCAGGAAGAATTTCCTCATGAAAAAGGTGGCCAGGCAATGGAAGGGACTGCCCAGGGATGCGGTGGAGACCCCATCCCTGGAGGTGTCAAAGGAACAACTGGATGTGGCACTCAGTGCTCTGGGCTGGGTGATGGAGTGGATGATGGGCACAGTTGAACTTGATGATCTTGGAGGTCCTTTCCAACCTCAATGATTCCAGGATTCTATGATTTGCTTGTAGAACGGGAGTGCCTCATGGCAGCCCTTCCAGATTCAAGGCTTGTCAGAGGTGTTTCTGCTGCAGGATGGGCCTGGCTCATCCAGCATCCCTAGGGAGGCATCCCAGGGGACCCTCTGGCTTAGCACCTATCCCTGCTTCAGAGGGGTCTTCTTTCCTGCAAAGCACTTCTTATCTCTTATCCTTGGAGAGCCAAGGCACCCTGCCAGCGCCCAAGGTACCACTCCTGCACCAACAGGATACTTTTTCCCTTGTTCTTCCCAGTTCTTAGCAAAATGTTTCAAGCATTTGGGGACTTTTTTCTTTTTTTCAGTATGAGCCAAACACCTAATATTTTTTTTTCCTTCAAAAGCGCTGGGGTTTACTGCAGATTTTACCCAATGGTTTGGCAGGAAGCAGATACAGCTTTGACCAAAATGTCTGAGATCTGCTCCAGCACAACCCAGAGCTCTTGACAAATGTTTTGCTGTCCTTGCCCCTGGATAATGCTGCCAGCCATGGATGTCACCAGCATGTCCAGCACCTCCCCTCCTGACTTCAGACCAAGCAGGAACAACTCCAGGTATGTGACATTTTGTGCTTTTGTCCCTCACATCTGGTTTTTGTTTTAAACTGGTGCAAATCCAGAAAGGTGCCACATGTTTCAGTCAAACAAAGCAGGGGAGAGACACAGGCAATCCAAGCCACCTCAGGAGCAAGTAGGTACAGAGAGACAAACGTATCCTGGATCTATACACCTTCTTAGCTTAATTTGCCCCTTTGAGATTGGAGTGAGTGTTTTTCTGAGGTTCCATGACCACTGTGATTTTCCTCCTTCTTCCAAGCCCACCTGGGCTGCCTTACTTGCCTCTTCCTTCCATCCCACTCTTCACTCTTACAGCCAAAATCATGAAATCAGGTGGTAAAGATTAAAACCACTCCTGAAAGCATCCTGTGCAAGAAAGGAGCATTTAGAAGGCTAAATCCTCCAATCCCTTTATTCCAATTAGGGCCCTTTCTCTTACAGGGCAGAGAGTGATGAAAGGAATCGCCACCAGTCTGCTCTCAGCTGGAGCGGCATCGCTGTCATCGCAGTGACGTGGGCCAGGCTTACCTGCAAACACACAGAGCCAATCCCCACTGCCCACATGGCCTGACAGACACAGGAAGGGGAAAAAAGGAATGAGGGAGGTAGAAGTTCTTGAACACCCTGTAAGCTGATTAAAGGGTATTTTACGTAGGAAGGATTTAGCCATGCAGTTCCTAGTACCATCTGACCTCAATAAACTCCCCTGCCATGGGCTGGTGTTGCCATTGCATGGGGCACAGCCTGTGCTGGGCTCCCCAAAGGTCAGCTGCACCTGGACAGCTCCATCAGGACTTGGGACACCATTGCTGGACATGTGTGGGGCATGACATGGTCCTTCCACAGCCTTCTTGGCCTGGCTTAACCCTTGTGCATTTTACCATCCCAAAGGGTGTAAAGCATGGCTGTAAGATTTTGGGATGTGTTTTGGCCAGTCAAGGTGTCTCTAGGAAGAAGAGAAGCTCCAGCAGATCCTGGGGTCTTGGGTTCTGGACAGGCTGGCAAGGATTGGGCAAACTTTGTAAGGACTGCCCTGAATAAAAAGCAACCCCAAAGGCTGGATTTCCTTGTCCAAGGCAGGAGCAACTATGTCCACTTGACTATGGCAGCATTTTTCCAGCCTGTTCTTAATGCTCTTTAGAGGAGGCCTCTGAATGCATCCACACTTCTTCAGCAGGGAAAAATATTTTCTGATCTCCTGTATCAATTACTTTGAAGGGTGAATGGGAATTTCTCCCCTTCACAACTCAGAATTACCCCTCCACCCCAGAGATCTGAGTGCTGATTTTGGAGAGTCTGCCTGCACCCTCCCTGTTCTATGGGCTAGGATAGCTCTGTGATGAAATCCTCTCTTTTCTGAAATGCAGTTTCTTGTATTTACCTCCAACATCAAAAAAAGGCTAGGCTCACATGTTCCCTCAAATATTGCCAGATTTGGGGCTAATACATTTAACATGGCTCTAAGATGCTGCCTTTCACACTGCTGGTTTGGTGACCCCTCCCACTGTAAAGAGGAGGAAAAAGACCTTCCTCAGTTCCATTCTCAGCTCTGATGCCTTTGAGACAGAGCAGTAACCAGAGCCTGGGTGTTGAAGGGGAGTGGTCCCTGTGTTTCATAATCTTTGCTCTCTGTTGGCACGAGGGTGTCCCAGGCATCAGCGTGGCTACTGGGAATAGCCCTGGCACCCATGGCAACTGGATTTACTTAATGCATCCCATCACAGGCCTCTCCATGCTGGGCATGTCAGTCGGTGTCAAGCCTAAGCACAAGTGACTGCACAAAGATCCTGATGCTTTATACCTGGCAGCGTCCCCAGGGCAGCTCAGGGATGGCTCCAAAGCTCACAGATCCCTTCTCCATCTTGTCCTGGGGCATTTCTCCCTGCTGTCTTCAAGGAGTGTGTGTGCACAGCCTCAGCACTGCTCAGTGTCCCCTGTTTGTGGCACTTTGCTAAAATTCCTGTGCCATGGACAGGTCAGTCAGGGCAGCCAGGGGCTGGGATCAGTCCAGCCCAGACTTCCCACAGCTGCAGGCGTGGCAGTGGTACAGCAGCAGGGATCAGGTGAGGCCACTCATTTCCTCTGTCATTCTTAGAGCCAGAAAATAGCGGAAAGCTTTTCTCTGCAGTGATGCTGCACATAGATAATGGGTTATAGATTTCATCTAAATGGGTGATTTAATCCTGCTTTGTGCCTGCTGGATGCAGGCAAGGGGAATCTCCACTCTCCTGCTGGGACTTGGAGGGTTCACACAAATGGAGAATCAAGGTGCAAATTCACAAAGCTCCTTTCAACAGATATTGTTAGGCAGGATTCTTTATTACTCCTATTTCCATAATGCCTCCTGATGAGAGTTTGATGTAAATTCTGGTTAAGGAGAATCAAATGTTGTTTCAGGACTGAGGAATTGGTTTGGGCTCTGGTTTATTCAGTTATAAATTTCAGCTTGAAAATGCTTTTGGGTGTCTTCATAGCCCTGAATATGCTCATCAGGGGCTTTCAGAGCTGCACTAGAGCTTGAGCCCACATTTGTCACCTGCGTTAAGTTGCAGCACTGCTGGGCATAGCCACACCATTTTCCACCCCATCACCTTTTCACTCTGCCCCTGCTGCTGGAGGCAAGCCCCATTTTTTGTTGCAAAACAGTTAATCAGGTTACTTATTTCATGTTCTTCCAGTCCCCAGAACCTTTTAGTGTCCTGTCATACACCCTCTGCTGCCATCGTGGGGCCACTTTGTTATTCCAACCTCTTCTCTGTCCTCTCGTGGCAAACTGAGTTTCCCCAGAGTTTGGAGGCATTTCAGACCCACTGAGGTTGTTTGCCAAGGAAGGAAAATCACATAAGTAATTTTTACCTCCCTACATCTTGTCCAGCCTCTTTTATGAATCTGAAGCTGCCAGCAGCACTGCAGGCAGAAGCAGAGGCAGAAGGCTGCAGCTGGAGAGAGCAGGTTCAGAGAGGAGAGAAAAGTGGCTGGGAAATGCCTGGACCAGAGCAGGTTCCAGAGGAGGAAATGGGCTCTCCTGTCCTAGTGCTGACCATGGCATGTCTTGATGCTCCAGGCCTGGAATGGGACCTGGAGTGACCCTGCTGTTTCCCCTGTCCCTGCTGCAGGGCTCTGGCTGCAGCCTGCACTCACAAGCCAGAGGTTCTGCTCATCAGGTCCTGGGGCATTCTTCCAAGGGAAAGATAATGAGGAAAATCCTGTCCCTCCCAGTCTTCTAGTCATGAGGACACCCTTTGCTTTTCCAAGGAAAAAGATAAGGAGATAAGAAGTGTAGTACAGTTCCCATTTCTCCAGTTGAAAGATTAATTTTTATTATTATTATTATTATTATTCCTTATTCCTTCCAAGCTACTTTATACTATACAAAGAAGAGAGAAAGGCTAATCTTATTTTCTTCCTGTATTTCTGAGTCACCTTTAGCTGCAGTATTTGAGACCAGCCAAACCCCAGCAATGGCAAGGAATATTTAGGATGTTTTCCATACATGTATAAGTATGCTGGCTTTTTAGATGCTGTGACAGAATTTGTACTGACAGACCTTTCCCAGCTGAAACCACAGTTCACAAGGTGTTGTCCCCTCATGGAAAAGTGAGCCCTGATCCTACTGATCAGGCAATTGCCCTAAAAAAATGACACTTTGTTCAACCAAATCACTGCTGCACACAGGGACTCCCTGACAGATCCTGGCATTTGCAAACAGCCCAAGCCAGGATGAAATTACAAGAAGAGAAGATTAGGCTCCTATCAAGAGGTAATTAAAGCCAGGAAATAATGATGACAATCATAGCGAATCAATTGGTACAAGGATGTTTGCCCAACAAATGTCATTATAGGCAGAAGCAGGAATTATTATCCATCAGCAGAAATATTCCATCAAATTGCTGTGAATGACCTGATCAGGTAATTAAAGGGACATTCCAACCCCGCTGCATTATTTGCTGTTAATCATGATTGCTCATATCCATATCTTTACTCAAATAATTGTTTCTGATAAGGCTGCAGATTTATAGAGGTCCCCAAGAGGAGCAGGCAGTGGAGCATCAGCTGTGAGCCCAGAGCAACCCAGGTCGGTGAGTCCTGCTGGGGTGAGTGTGCTGCACGGGCTGCCTTCCCTTCTCTCTCACTTTTGGGTGGATTTCAGACCTCTGTGATGCCTCACTGAGCCATTGCCATGAGGCCATCCATGTCCTGAGCAGCAGTGCTGGAATATGGGGGTTTCCCTCCTCAGGGCTCCCAGCCTGGCTCGGGGGGTTGTTCTTTCAGCTAAAGGTCCCAGCTGGCCAAAGAGTTTGCAGTCATTTAAAACCAGCATCAGTGGGGAGGAAATTAAAAGCTTGGAAGTGTCCTGCTAAGGGTAAACAGCCCTTCAGTGATGACACTGGAGATCTACCTGCTTCTTGGGGTGTGGGTAATTTTAAAAATCATTATTGATAGGAAGGAAAAGTTCCCCAACAGCTATCACTGCTCTTGGGAACTTCAGCAAGCAAATATGGTCTACCCAGGGAACACAAAATTACATCCAGAAAGAGAAAAGAGAAGTTGATCACCAGATTAGCAGCTAGAAAGGTTATGAAGAGAGGGGAAACTCTGGAGCCAAGGATGGGGTTTAAAATGGTCTCTTAAGTATGGTATCCCAGAGAAATGCAAGCCCATGAGAGGCCAAATGCTGAGGTTAGATCTTGGGGTCAAGGGATTGTGTGACAGCTGTTGGGCAGATAGAAGGACAGGCTCAGGATTCAGGTGCCCCTTGCCTAAGGATGCTGTGGTTTTGGTGGCTGTTTTCACCTCCTCCTACATCCCAGGACTGTGGAGTTTGCCTTGTTTGGATTCCAGTAAGATGCTGATCTTTGAAATGTCCTTCTTGCTTTACTATTCCATGCCCTCAAAGCTGGATCAGGCAGGAAAACACAACACTAAAGCTCAAAGTGTGTGTGAGATTAAGCTTATGGTTCCTTCATCCTCTCATATGTTTGCTTTGCAGCCCCCATGAAATATTTGCCCTGTGGTTTACAGCGACTAAATTTCTGTATAAATCCCTCACTCTTGTCCTTTCTCCTTGTGCCTCTTCTCATCTTGCAGCACTTCCCGAGCAGCAAACAGTCCCAGAAGGGAGGGATAGAAAATATTCTGAATTCTCGGACATTCTCTTTCATGTTCTTTGTACTGTTTAGCTTCAGAATAAAGTAAAAACCAAGTGGGAGGATTTGATCTGGGGTTAGCAAGTGCCATCTTGAGAGACTGCAGGACAGTGATGAAGGTTTGTTTCCTTGCAGGAAGAAGGTAAAAGAGAGAGGAGTGTATTACAAATTACAGGTAGAGCTGCTGCGTGATCCTTGAGGAAGGGTGAGCATCTGGGAATAAAAGGGGAAACAATGTGGGCATAAAGGGGAGAAACATGCTTGTGATGAACAAAATGTACTTTTTATTTCAGTGAGAAAACAAAACAGGAGGGCCTGCTGTGACTGCAAATCTGGGTTATTTCATTTTACCTTCTTGAAAGGTTAGAGGATAGGTGGATATGGGCACACACATGAGCCCTTCCTCTATATATGAATGAATTTTATTTATCATATGTGATTTTTTTGTCTGAAAGCCCCTTGCAGACGTCTCCAGGTGTTTATCTCTGCTGGCACGAATTCCTGCTTTATTTAGTTACAGTGGTGGTGCTTCCACAGCCCTATCTCTGTAGGGAATGTGAACGGCACCAGACACACACCAAGGCCACTTGTCCTGCTGCTCACAAAACTTAATGCTTTATTTCAGGAGAGAACATGGTTTCCATGATGACAACTCTGTGGCAAGTAATTATTCCCATGATTGTTCTGTCCCACTTCTCAGCATCTCTGCCATCCTGGGAGAGGTAAGTCTTTCTTGGGACTCTGCTTTCTTTTTCTCCATGGTTTTTGTTCAAAGAACCTGCTAGCTGAAAACCCAGCCTTTTAGCTGCCTTCTTGAACTTGCATCTGCTTGCTTGTGGATTATCTTCTTCCCTAAACAGATTTAGTTAAATGAGTGCAAATACTGTAAATGTTTTTCTTGCTTAAGGATGGGAAAGTTAATTTTATTTCATTCAGAAGAAAATTTGTGACCCCAAAACAAAACACAGTTACAAGGACACTTTTGAGTCTGTTTTTCTCCTGTGCACTTACATAGCCTGATAAAGGTGAGATTTTCTGTTTCCAACAGCCTGGTCCCATGAAAACATAACCAAAAATAGCCAACCCTGTAAGTTCACCAAGGGAGTCACCTGCAAGGGCTGGTCTTTGCTGCTCTTTCCTAAGTGCTCTTGAGCTTTGTGTCTCTGGATATTTGTTTATTACTTCTCCAGCCTGTTGTCCTATTCTTTTGTGTTGAATCATCAATAACCCCACATTCCCACATCCTTGTGGCAAGATGATTACATCAGTAAAAGCAAGAACAGGTTGTTTTCCTGTGTGATGTTTAACAAAGGTATTTTTAAAACTCCCTTTTTTTTCCCCTTTTTTTGTGAAACTTTGCCAAAGTGGTACGAATTCTTGCCCATGTGTGTTTGGGACTCTCTTCCCTTGAGGCAGCAGTGTTTAATGCCTGTTCTTGCCTGTTCTTGTATGTTTTTAAACCATTTTAAACCTTTTGACCCCCCTTTCCCTGTTCCAACTCGCAGGGTGGAGCGCCACGCAGACGGGCTCTTCCACAGCGAGCTCAGCAAGATGAACGGCAACGCCTACGTGCAGCAGCTGGTCAAACACCTGGTGGGCCTCAAGGACAGGTGAGCACCAGCCACAGCCACCCTCCTGGGGCAGGGAAGTCTCCAGCAGGATGTGGGATCCCTGCCCTGAGGGGCTGCTCATGGAGCTGAGCTGTCCAGCTGCAGAGCCGGCCCCTGGCTGCCCAGGATGAGGAGGGGAAGGGGAGGAGTACAGGGCCTTGTAGTGGTGGGAGAAGAGGCATTGCTGTTTGCTGTGCCATGGGGGTCCCACGTGGCTGGGAGGTGCAGCTGCTGTCCCATGTTGTCCCCACACAGGTCCCTGAGGCACTCGGATGGGCTGTTCACCAGTGAGTACAGCAAGATGAGAGGCAACGCCCAGGTTCAGAAATTCATCCAAAGCCTCATGGGCCGCAAGCGCAGGTGAGAGAGAACCTCGGGTGTCCCAGCCCCACCCAGGCTCTCACTGAGGCCATGTCTGTGAGCACAGCAGCAGACACAACACAAGCTGCAGGTGCTGCTCTGCAGTGGTGGTGTTACATAATTGGTGGTTTGGGGTTTTTAATTATTACTAATTTTCTTTATCTAAACCAGCTCTCCTGGCCCAGTCAACACAGACATGCAGGGGAGAGAGGGAGTAAACAAACCTGAGGAACTTTGCTTTCTCTGGTTGTACCAGAGCTTTCTGAACACCAGGTAGGTGGGAGGGATTGGTCACCTCTGTGACTCTCAGCCCCACAATACTGAAGCCAAAAGAAGGCATTTATGAACAGCCATAGAAAAAGTCAGTTGTTAAAACAGTAAAACCCAGGGAAGCAAAATAATATCTTTTCCTAAGAGTTGTCATTCTGGATTGAAGCAATTATTAATCTCATTAGGAAATGTGACCTAATGGTTAAAATTGAAAGAAAGCCTTTGCTACCCTGTCTGGATTCAGCTGCTGGTTGGAGCACACACCTCAGGATGGGTTGTCCCAGGACCTGGACATTGTCTTTTCCTAATGCCCAACAGCTTTCCCTTAGACATCTTGGACTCTTAAATCCCTTAGACATCTTGGACTCTTAAATCACTGTAATTAGGAGGAATAAACTGGCCCTTAGTACCTCTTGTGCCACAATGGGGGAGAAACTCCACTGTGCATTTGTAGAGTGCCTGGCAGCAGGCAGCCATGATCCCTCTATGGAGATCATGACCTGCTCTTTGGAGTCATCCTGGAATGTCACAAGGTGGCCTTGTCACACTTCCTGCAGTTCATGCTCCCTGAAATAACAGATTTTTCTCTTTTTTTTTCCTTTTTTTTTTCTTTTTTTGTCCCTGCTTTTTCCCTTCCCACAGCCGCTCAGACAGAGATGCCAGGGAGGCTGCTGCCATTACCAGCCAGTACATTTGTCCCTTCTCTAAGCAGCTGCTTGCAGACATGAAGGAAGATACAGATGGTTCTGAATGAAGGTTAAAAGAAAGAAACAGCCAAGGAGACAGCTTTGCACATGTATGGCCTTGAAAATAAACAGGAAAGCTCTTGCTTAGGAACGATTCTTGACATAGGCAAATAAATAAAAATAATCCTGTAAAGCAGTCAAAAACCAATGAAACCTTTGAGATTATCCAAAGTGAAATGCATGTGGGTGTGTACTGCTGTCAGTAGATGGAGCCTGGGTGAAGGACATCCCTTCCACTCTGTGTTGGCATCTGGCTGCCTGCTGCTGTTCCCAAATAAAAATGGTTAGCTGTGCCTGTGCCTTGGCTGCTCTTTGGGAAACTGGAATAAGGATGGTTCCATTACAAGGTCTTGGATTATTAGGAATGCAGGGGAGGAGCATTTTGCCAGGATTCCCCACATGAAGCATGATGGGACATATGGCTGGGACTGGGGAGTGCCTACAGTGCAGCTGTGCACAGAGGTCAGAATCAGGGCTCCATGTAGCAGAAACAAAGCCAGATGTTAGGCCTTATGGCAAAGAAATGTTCTGAGAGCTACACAACAGAGATACTCACTTTAAAGGTTATTTCCTCTCCATTCTGCTCCTGGAGCTGATGGCCCAGTTTTGTCACAGCCACTGAAGACAAAGCTCCACGAGGAATAATTTGTTCCCACCACTTAATGAGGTTCATGTACTGTCCCTGTGCCACACAGGCAGATTGCTCCCCTTTGATGGAGCAGCCACACCACAGCTTTCCTGTAAAACCATTGGATTTTGGAGAGCAGCTCTACAATCAGGATCTTCAGCTGCAATCTTGTGCTGCGCTATGCAGCCCTGCCCAGCCCATCCTGCTCCAGCACTTTTCAGCATCTGTGATGGACCTGACACCTGCAAAATGAGCTGTTCTGACTCAAATGCACACCTAATCACCATTCCCTTACTGAGGAGCTGAACAAGCCTTGGCAGTTGTTCATTTTAGTCCATAGGAAGTCTCTGTTAGGAAATATTCCCTTTGGAATACTTTTAGAAGGTGTTGACAGACTGGATTTCAGTAAGCTGCTAATAACCACCTGGCTGAGGCACAGCATCTGAGAACTTCCTGAAATCAGAATGAATTTTAAAACATCAGTGAGAGCAGAGGTCCCCTGAAAACTTCAGGAAGCTGCTGAGATTCAAATAGTTGAAGATCTCCTGGTGTGGAATGTCCTGGAAGGAGATTCTGGGAAGCATCTCTACAAGGAGCAGCCAGCAGTAAAAGGAGATCTGTTTTCCCTACAAAGTTGCTGGGCATTCCCTGGACTGCAGGTGAGCCTTTGTCACTGCTGAGATCCACTTGCTCACCTTGTGGGATACAGACCCCACCTCTAGCACATCAGAAACCAAATTTCCCCCCTTTCCTGTGGGAGAGACTGGAGTAAAGAGGCAGTTTCCCAAGTACCAGCCCTTGTCCTGCATGCTCAGCTGGGCAAGGGCTTGGCTCTGTGTTCTGAACTGCTTCAAATATATCCTTGTTGCCACACAGAGTTTAGGATAGGAAAGATCCAGAGAAAAAAGAAGCAGGAAGGATTTATGTGTCATTGTGTTCCATGACTGGTAAATCCTTCAATAAGTCATCCAATGGGGCAAAGAGGCAAAGGTTGAGCCACAGCAGTCCACAGCCAGCTGGTGTTTCTTGGTGCCATAAAGTGGCGAACGCAAACAAGGGCACAGGGCAGAACAGGGAGATCAGCTTATTTGGAAAAAGGGATTTTTCACCAACTGGCAGCTCACCATGGCTATTCCTCACTGGCTTCTCATGTCTGCACTCTTCCTGCTGCCCCTCTTGGCACAGATTTCAGCACAGGAGCCAGGTAATCTCTTTCACATTTCTTTGAGGAATGTCTCCCATGGGAGGGGGTGGCCCTGTTACAGGTGGGAGGTTGCTACGCTGCAAGACCCCTTTGCTCTACAGCTTGTGACCACAGCTCTCACCCAGCTCCTTCCCAATGTGAATCCTTGGGCTATTTTGCATCTTATTTGTGTGTTTTCCCAGGATGTTCTGTCAGTAACAGCAGCCCAAGTGTTCCTGAAAATAAGTGTCCTCTTGTGGTGGCTGGCATCCACGTGCAGCCAGGTTTCACCCTAACAATTGATCCCAGTTACCCTGATGGCCAATTCTTCACCATTGAGGGCTCCGAGCTGCAGCTGACAAAGTGTGTGGACTATGAGGTAAGCCTTCAGCTGGCAGGCTGTAATGATGGGATAGACAATGATGCAATGAGTTTCAGTCTGGAGTCATGGGCTTCCAGGAATTCTTAACCTGCTTCTAAAGGAAATAAGTTATTTCAGTTGTGTGAATTTGGTAGCCTACAAAAAAGATGGAGAGAGACCATTTGAAAGGGCCTAGAATGACAGGATAAAGGGGACTGACTTTAAACTGCTAGAGGGCAGGGTTAGATGGAATACTGGGAAGAAATTCTTCCCTGTAAGGGGCCTGAGGACCTGGCACAGGTTTCCCAGAGAAGCTGTGGCTGTTCCATCCCTGGAAGTGTTCAAGGCCAGGTTGGATGGGGCTTGGAGAAGCCTGGTCTAGTGAAAGGTGTCCCTGCCCATAGAAGGCATTGGAATGAGATGAGCTTTAAGTTCCTTTCCAACCCAAATCATTCTGGGATTCTGTCATCTTGTGTGAAGCAGAAAGGCAGTATAAAAGGTCATTGTGTTCACTTAGGTGGCTGCTACCTTATTTTAGCTCTCTGGAGTGCTCTGTAAACAGCCACAGGCATCCTTAAGTTCCCTTTCAATATAAAAACCCACTTTTACTTGAGTGAAGAGCAACAACCTGAGTTAACACCCTGCAGGTGCCAGATTAGCTCTGCCAACATCTTACAGGAATTGAAGGGAGTGTGCCTGGCAGATGGGACTGCTTTGATATCATCATAAACAAGATCCCAGCCATTAAGGAAAGAAAGGAGAAAATAAGATAAAGCACAGCAACGTTTCTGATTCAGCGAAGGATAAATTTGGCTCATTTGCTTTAGCCAGAGGTTGTACTCTTGGGCTGTTTCTACAATGAGGGGATTTGTTTTTCATGCAGGAAGACCCCCTGTTGCTGCTGTCCCTGACCTGCCAGGACCCTGCTGGCCAGGTGAGTGCTCTCCCATGGCTGAGCCCTGGGACAAGGCACTGCAGGCAGCCCCTGCTTCCCTCTGCTCTTCCTAATCCTCACACTGGGATGGGCAGATGTCCTTCTCTTTGTGGGCAGACACACTCTTCTCAGAGCCACAGAGAGCACCAAGGCTCTGCCAGTGGGCAGGAGGTGGCAGCAAGCCCACAGTCCTGCCCAGGACGTGGGCTGGCTGCAAACCCCAGCCCCATCTGGCCCCCATCCTTACACCATCCCCTCTGGTCACTCTGCAAAGCAGGATCAGCCCCAACAGTCTATTTTTGTCTTTGATTCTTTGATTTGCCCATTCTGCAGAGCGATTCCTTGCAAATCCTAGTCACCATTCTGAACGAGAACGACAACTCCCCCGTGTTTCCACAGCCAAACGTCACCAGGCAAATCCCAGAGGTAAGGGGTTTTGGGAAGGGAAGAGAGCACTGCTCACTGAGTGCTGTGGGACTGAGGAAGGGTCAGCAGGGAGAGGACTTCAATCCATTTCACACAGACAATAACTACAACAATGTGTTTTTTTTCAGGATACAGAAGTGGACACAGTCATTGTAGCCCGTGAAGAAGTAACTGCTGCTGATGCTGACCTGGACACCATCTACTATGAACTCACCACTACAGTGCAGGTGAGCAGCTCTGGGGACAAACAGTAGCTCTGAAGAAGAGCCCCAGCTTTGAGGAGAAGGTCACTACATTTAACTCACTCAACCTTTACAAAACTCAAACATTGATTTGGTTAGCAGAACAGAGCCATTAATGTTGAAGGTATTGAATTCTCTTATGGCTCACACTTTTAATGCACTGTACAGATTAAACTTTCATCTAGGATGTTCAGAGCTGTAATGATTCAGGGAAGTCGTGTTGGCATGATCTGTAAACATATCAGGAGACCTTTGTACCTCAGGGAGCTCAGAATTGCACTGAGTCTGATGGGGAAAGCAGTCCTTGCCCTAGCTGCTAACAGCAGCACAGGAAATGCATTGTGCACACAGTTAAACCAATGCCAGCCTGGAGAGCAAGGGCTGGCTGTAAACTAAAATCAAGAGAAAATTCAAGAGAAAAACCAAATGTATGTTTGCATTTTTGAAAAGTGTTGTGGAGAGAGCAGACCATGTCTCTGTTACCTCTATATCCCCAGGGAATTTAAGTTTCTGTGAACAGAAACCGCCAGTTTTTCAGCTCTGGGATCAGACTTTGCATTCACATTGGTGTAAATTCAGAGGGATTTAGAAATTCAGAGGCATAAGATTAAAGGAGAACCAAAGCAAGTGCAGAAAGTTATAGAGTAAAATGCAACACATGATACTTCAAGTCAGCTTTACAGTTTCTTTCAGTCCAGCTGTATTAGGCTAAGGCAGGTGATCCTGCCAGCTCTCAAAGGCTGAGCCATCTTTGACCTTTTTTGTGCATGGAAGTGAGATTGTTGGCTATTAGGGACCCAAAATCAAGGATTGTAGGCAACTTGCTAAATATAGAAAATAAATTAGGTGATAGATTTAATCCAGAAGCTGCTCAGCAAGTGGGCAGTCAAATCAGGTGTTCTGTGAGAGGAAATTCACAAGAACAAACCTTTCTGACAAGCCAGGCAACTCCAGTGTGCAGTGCCAAAAATTAAGTAGATCAGACATTCCTACAGTGCCCCTCGTCCAGATCCCCAGGATTAAAGGTCCAGTTGGGATGACAAAGATAGCAATGAGCAGGACTTGGAACGTGTCTGTAATTGAGTCTGCTATAGGATTTTTCCTTTTCCCTTGCCAGAACACAGACGGTTATTTTGCCATAAGAGGAATTAATAACCCGGAAATTTATTTACAAACAGCATTGGACTATGACAAATTTAATTCAGCAACGTTGCTCTTGTATGCAAGGGTAAGTGGCTTGGGAAGAACAGAATGCCTTGTTTGCATGGTCCCTCTTATCTGAAGGATGAGTCTGGATGGGACATCTCTGGGATAACAGCAGGGAGGGCGGAGACTGGAGGTGGGTGCATTTGGAGCAGCCTTTCCCTCTCCATAGTTCCAGTGACAGACCTGCAGTCAGCCCACTTCTGTCAGCAGAACAAGATAACCTACTCCTTTAGTTACTCTCACATAAATTTCTAATTAAACAGAATGGAGTGACAAAGGCTAAAGGGCCCCAGTCCACTGCTTTTGGCAGGTGAGCCCTTGTTGTGGCAGTGAAACTTGTGTCTCACGAGTGTGCTTTGCCTTGGGAGCAGGACAGGCCTGTGACCAGCCCTGAGCCCAACGGAACCAACACGGCCACTGCAACAATAACCATCACCATCAAGCAGAGTGACACCCGGGCACCCTGGTTCCTGCCCTGCACCCAGCTCCACAACGACCGCAGCGTCTGCATCAGCAGCCCCTACTCCGGCAGGGTCAACATCTCCGAGATGTCGGTGAGCAGGAGGGCTCAGACAGTGCCTCTGGGCTCTTCCCAGAGGGAAGCACTGAACCATCTCCATGAACCTGTGCTGGTCTCCAGTATAATGCAGATGATTCAGCAGAACAGGAAGCCTTCATCGTCGCCCACCCCAAGCAGCACTGCTTGTCTCTGCTCCTACAGCAGAGGAGAGGCAAGAGCTGGAACACCAGCTCAAGGCTGTCTCACCTCCACCCTGTCACAGACACCTCCCAGCAATAAATCCCATTCTGTCCAGGCAGAGCCATGGGATCTGCTCTGGGCTGGGAGAGCTCCAGTTGCTGATCTGGTCCTTGTGGTGTGTGATTGTTTGCCTTGCTGTTGCAGACAGACCCGCTCCTCCTGGAGCCAGGACCCATCTATGCTGTCGACCCTGACTACACCATCAGTGACAGGATCGTGTACAGGATTGTTGGGGGTGAGTAGACCTTGTCACCTTCCACAAGGAACATTGCTCATGTCTCCTGTGGTACCTGCCAAGAGAGAGGGCCTGGGATTTGCCCCTCTGTTTCTGCCACAGATATCACTAGAGCCACAGAACGCTGTTGATTAAGTAGAAGAAACAGACTGTACAGAGAGGAAGGAAAAAAAGAATTACAGTCCCACAAATCAATCTCAATGAAATCTGTTTCAAAAAGATTTTGGTTTTTTGTGAGATGAGACATGTTTTATGTTTAAGCTTTTAGCTGTGATTTTGTCAATCTGGTCATG